CCTTAGTGGGCAGTTTGAAATTCACGTGCGTTTTGTTACAATCATTAACCATTATTTAATATATTATATTTTGTTTATTTATACTAACAAAAGACCAAGTGGCCCAGTGGCAAGCAGGAAGGGTTTTCAAGGCGCGCGTGTAGGAGGTCAGGGGTTTGACCCTTGGCTCCAAAGTTTTCTATTTTCTTAACATCTATTTGCAGATTCAGTGTTATCATTCTTAGTGCGTCCACCATACGCCCAAGATTCATCACCATCAGATCATTCCTTGGCCAAATCTCACGCCTCTAGGAAGCAGCCACATGGTGGACCTCCCAGAAGCCACCACACCAGATCCAACGCAGGATGATGGGCTTGCATCAATCTGGGCCTATCCATTCTTCTTCACACCTCCACTTTTGCTCATCACATCAGGCCCACTTTAGTTCTTTTTAATTTCTTTTGTTTGTTGTAATTATTTTTTACAAAAAAAAATCATTATTTTTTAACTAAATCATAAAATCAATAAAAACACAAAAACATTAGAATTAGGTTTTTTTCATAAAAATATTTAATTTTATTAATTAATTAGATTAATTAGGATAATTTAATTTCCTTTTTCATAATAAAAATTAATTAGAAATTAGGTTAATTTGTAAAAATAATTACTTTCTCAAAATCTAAAAAATATTTTTCTTTATTCACTAATTAGATGTCTTTAAATTTAATTATTAATTTCCCGTATTTAATTTTGTCGCGCGTATTCTTTTTCCATTACATTTTTTTAAAAATTATTGTAATTGCTTCGAGATTGTAATAAATCTAATTAGGTTATTTACTATCGTTCCGTATTTACTATTTAATCCCCAAAGTTTTTGGTCATGTAATCCCCATTCCCCGAAACGCCTTGTAATAATTAGATTTACTTTTCCGCTTTTACCTTCTGCAAATATATAAACTGTTTAGATATATGCGTAGGATTGTATGCAAAAGATTAATAATTTGAAACAGTAGAAAATCATAATTGTGCAAAGATAAATAACTGAAAAACAATCACACGCACATGTGCACCCCTAGGGTATCACCACTCCGGTTGCCTTCGGTAAACAGTTATGAAGTATAGGGAGCTTTAGTTGTTGCCCTCTAGTCCCAAAAGATAAAAATGACCCATTCGAATGTTGCCTCAGAAAGATCTTTAGGACTCTAGGGTAACTACTAAGGTTTCCTAACCATTGCTTTAGTGATTGTAATTGTCCCTTCGAATGTCCCTCGAACATCCAACGGCTAGGGTTACCTACTCACTAATAGTAGGATAACACGGTCTAAAGGATAGGAGGAAAAGAACGCCTTTTTTCAAGTAGGTAGATAAGTATTAGGTGCTTTCTCAAATAAGATTTTTACATCCTACACTTTCAAACATACTTTTCAAACAAAGTTTTCAAAAACACTTTATCACACTCTTGAGGACTGATACAAGAGTTACCATAAGGTGAATCACCGCATTAAGGCAACTTTCAAAGCTTTTCAAAACACACAAACACGAAAGCAATTTTAGAAATGAGCAAGTACCTAAGATCCCATGGAAAACCACGGCTGGAAATGGTGATAACACCTTCCCTTTCCATAATCTAGCCCCTTACTCAGAAATCTCGAAAAAAGGTTTTTTTTCTGTTCGTTTCACCCTTTCCTTTGTTGGATAAAAGAAAAGTCGGTGATGACTCTTGCTTACCGCGACATTTGCAAACAAAAAATGCAAACCAGTATTAACAATCGGTTCTGCCACCGTATCACACTCGCCCTAGTCCTTCTACCAATGAAGCTGGGACATTTTATGCTTGTTCCCATTCGCACACGGTCAACTAAATTTCTTGATTGTATGAGTCAATTATTTTACCAAATGGATAAAAGTAGAAACTGTAGTTAAAATCACGATAAAAAGAGTGTGTTGTTTCTACTAGAAAAATATCATGTCCAGATACAAACTCTCTATATCCATTGTCTCCTACAGTGGGACCCAATTTGTTATTACTATGGTCACTTACTCATGCACAGACTTGGTAGTACAAACAAAATTTGTATCTATTGTACACCCTTAAGATAATAGTCAAGTTGAGTCGAGAAACAAAGTAATTCATAATGGGCTATAAAAGAAGCTTAATGATGCCAAGGGCCTATGGGAAGAACAACTCCAGGAGATGTTATGGTCACACCACACCACTCTCCATTCCACTATCAAAGAAACCCTATTTTCCATGGTCTACAGGGTAGATGCCATGCTACCTGTAGAGATTGAAACGCCCTAGTGGCAATGATCCAAGTTCAATGAGGAAGAAAATAAGATAGGATTGAAGTGTTCTACAAGAAGCTCCTCTCTGGATCATAAGACAACACAAATACAATGGACTTTTGTAGTAGATACTTGCCACCCTTCAGGGCAACATGATCATGTTATCGCCAAAAAGGCACAACCTATATACAGCCTGAGATTTTTTATCACAAGTCTTGCTTGAGGGCTCGATTGGAAGTCCTACCTGAGATTTTAAATGCCCAGTCTGAGGAACTTATGGTCTCTTTAACCGAGTTACATATTATTGTTCCTAAGAGACTTAGACTCCACAGGTAAACTAAACTCTCGTAGGAGGGACTCAATGTCTCCTCGGTGGGACCAGACTCAAGAATCACGCCTAAAAGGTTCGACTGGTGTCCATCCAGCGAGACATGATTACAAGTCTTTCCTTAAGGCTCGATTGGAAGTCTCACCCAAGAGGTCAAACGCCTTGACTGATGGGCTTATGGTCTCTTTAATCGAGCTACATATTGTTGCGCCTAAGGGATTTAAACTCTACATACAAACTAAACTCTCTCCTTAGGGAGTTTGTGTCTCCTCGGGTGGGATCAGACTCAAGAATCATGCCTAAGAGGCGTGCCCGATGTTCGGATCGAGAGACTTGATTACAAGTCTTTCCCGAGGGCTCGATTGGAAGTCTTAAACCATAAGTCCAATGTCTCTCCCGAGGGACTTATGGTCTCTTCAGTTGAGCTACATATTACTGCGCCTGAGTGACTTAGTGTCTCCTTGGGTGGGACCATACTCAAGAATTACGCCTAAGAGGCGCGATCAATGTCCATCCTAAAAGACTTGATCATAAGTCTTTCTTGAGGGTTTGATTGGAAGTCCCACCTGAGAGGTCAAATGTCTGGCCTAAGGGACTTGTGGTTTCTTCTATCTGGCTACACATTTTTATGCTAGAGAGACTCGAGTTCCCCAAGATAACTAAGGTCACGCCTAAGGTAATGCAAGTTCTCGAGATACTCCCCTAAGCTATGATCTAAAAACATGTTGTCTTCCATCAAAAGTATCGTGCTTGAGGTACTATGTAGTGTTATAATTATAAAAGGCCTTGCCTAGGGCGATACCTTTAGACCGCCTGGAAGAGGAAACAATGGGATGTTGCCCAAAGGGAGGTATCACATTGCCATATGGCTTTCCTATCACCCAATTGTGGGAAACGTGAGATAAGACATTCCTTGGGTAGAAAGAATCCAGGGTCATTAACTAACTGACGTCTCCCTTGCAAATAGGGATTCAACAGTTCATCATTGACTGAGTGGGAGGTAACTCTTTCCAAGAAACCCCTAGGCTATAAAGGCCTATATAAATACTCTTCCCTCTAAGGGAAGAGGGATAAATCATTACACCTTAAAGCATAGATCTTAGAAAGATCACAATTTCGATAATCTCCCCCATAATTCATCCATAAATCCTCTCACCTCACATGAGCAAGATTCTTAACACCAATGTAAAATACCATTGTACATGATCTTCGCTGCCATGAGCAAGACCTAACTACTATACAATGTAATATACCTACAAAGGCCTTTGTGTCTTCCTGCTCTTGTAGGGGGAACACACACACACACACTTGTACTTTTTGACCATTTCACACATGAACATGTATTATCACAATCAAGCAAAAGATCAAGAATTCATGAACTAATTCCCTTCCCCTATCATGGATTTACTAATTGGGGCTAATTCCCAATTTGAATCTTAACTAGAATCCACCTTTGAGAAAAACCTGATTTTTCCTTTAAAGTTGGTGAATAGGAAATGATGAGGATGGTTGCATCTTTCTTAATCTTTCTACTTCAAGAGTTCACTTACAATTTAACATGGAACAACAATTGGACTTGATCAATCTTTTCCTCCTTCTTCCTCCAAGGTTGTTCTTTCCTCCCCCTCTTGCTTCTCCTTTCTACTCTATTTTCTGATTTGAGGAAAGAGAATGAGGATGAAAAATGAGACTTTTCTCATAAAATTGAAGTTAAATAGTTGGTTGGAGAAATGCTTATTTTACCCTTACTTCTTAAAGGTATTTACTAATAATAACATTCTTTTACTATTTATGGATTTAGGGCTCTCGATTAATTTCATAACCTCTATATTAGATTCAAAATTTCATTCTTTAATGGACAAAGACACTCTTTAGAAATTAGGTTTTTACAACACTAGTAATCAGAATCAAACAACTACAATAACTATACACTTACTTTTGTGCAAAGGGAAAAATTATATTTAGTATTTTTTAAATTATAATTTTTGTTTTTTTACATTTTTCCAAAAAAAATGGTCTTGAGATTTAATAATCTAAATCATGGTGTATATAATTTTTTTACCATAATAATATTGGCGTATTTCAAATAACAAAAATGGATATATTTCAATTTGTTAGTTTTAAAATAAATTTATGCAGTTTATATTGGAAAAACAAACATAAATAGTATATATAAACTATTTTAAACACCATAGTTTTTGCCTCAAATGTAAAACACCATAATAATTTCATAAAAATGAAATACTATATTTGTTTGATCTTAAGATAATCATGCAAGTTTGATCATTTCTAATGGTTTTTGTTTTGGAGAAACAAAACTAAATTAAAATTCATATGAAATACAAAGACAAATTCCATAATCTAAAATTCATATGAAATACAAAGACAAATTCCATAATCTAAAATTTAAGAGATCCACATCATAATTTCACTAGCAGCTTGCTTGTAAATTTCCTCCATTAAATTTGTGTCATGTGAACCTTGTTTTGCCTGCAAAATTAACACAATTAAATTAAATAATTCATGTTAAATAACTTTTCTTTTTATGAATTAGTAAACTATTAATAGTTTACTGTGATATCACATATAATCCATAAAGACGAGAGAGATTAGGTTAGAAACATACATGTGTTTGAATCATGTAGAAATTTCCATTTCCATTGCATATAATGCTGGCAGATACAACATCAATCATATATTTCTCCAACACAAAAGCAATACGTGTCAAAAGACCTGGCTTCTTAGTAGAACATATGGAGAATTGTGCTTGACTACCACATATGTTTGTGACAACATTTGGAGAAGACCATGTTTGAAAAGCTACTTGTTGTGGTGGAGGTGCTGATAGTGATAATGCTTTTGAATTAGGATATGAAGACCAATGTGTTTTTTTGATCACAGATGATGACTCACTTCCAAATAGGGATACATATTTCAGCTTTTCTTGCTTCTTCTTTTCTAACTTCTCAATAATTTTTTCTAGATTTTTTATTTGCGCCACTGCTCCATCCACAATTGTTGATTTATCAGCCTGAAAAATAGAGATATTTATTTGATAATACAATAATTACTCGTAAATAATTGAAGATGAAAATGAAATTACCTTAGGAGATAGTTCAGGAAGCAAAGCATGAAGATCAGAGAACATGTCACTCATTTTCTTTCTCCTTTCTCTTTCAGTCAAAATATGCATTTCATAATCTGAATCATGGTACTTTCCATCATTCCCTTTCCCATTTATATCATTCTCATCTCTACTTCGTTTTTTATTCACAACAACTTCTCCTTCATTAAGTCTTTTTTTATGGTTCAATGACTTCACATCTAACTTTTGCTTGCTACTCTCACATAAGTGTTTAGGATTTGTGAGATCACTCCACATTTGATTTTCACTCATGCTTATGTTTGTCTTTGAGAAAGAAGAGTAGATTAATATATTTATATAGAAATATAATAGAGTTTCGTGGAAGCTACTAAAAAAAATAATATTAAATAAAAAAATAAAAAAATGAAGAATTTAGTATAGAAGCATCCAAAATTTATTTATAATACAATTATTTTTTACCTAGCAAATACATATAAACTAATCATATTGATATTTGTCATAAAAAATAGAAATCGAAATTAAAGAATTGTGTACAACAAATATAACTTTTCTCTCACACATTATGGCCTCACCACATAAAACTAGCACTACATGCATGTTTTGTGTTAAAGTGGTTTATTGAAATTACTGCGTGTGGTCGTTATTTCGGAAAATCTAATAAGCAGTTTTGGAAAATTCATGCTTGTTCCTTGAATTTGGACAAATCGACATATTAAAATGACTAATTTATAAATTTTGATTTTTTTTTAATTATTTAAACAAGGAATATAATTACAAGTAATTACATAATTAATATTCTTAAATATATTTGATGGTATTTTTATTACCATTTGTGATGTTTAGATTAAGATATACTTCAATCCTATCCACCTAGATAGACGTTTTCTATTCCTATTGGTTATGGAGTTCTAGAATTGTATTCTCTTAATATCCACTAATTGAAAAATCTAGAAGAGTGTTTTTTTTATGAAGTTATTATCAAGTTATTAAATTTAATATAAGTTTTATAGTTACCTTGAGTTTAATAACAACTAATTAAAATATCTAGAAGATGAAGTTATAAGTACGTTTTTCTAAGAGAAGTTATTCTCAAGTTATTAAATTAAATATAATTTTTAAATACCTTGAGTTTATTTGATAGTGTAGGTTAAATTGATTAAAAAAATTAATTTTTTAATTGATACATTTATTAAATTTATATTTACATCCTCGCATAAGTGCAAGGGGGTGATCTAGGTGTGGGCGTGAGACGAATTTATTCCTTCAGTAATCTCTATGTATCATATAAGTCGTCCTGAGGTCGAGATATCCCAAGAGATGTCAGATAGGTCGCCCTAAAGTTGAGATACCCCAAGAGATGCGATATAGGCCGTCCTATGGTCAAGATATCCTAGATGTGCTTTTATGCATATTTATCATGTGACGTCAGCATGTCTTCTAAATACCATAATGATCGAATATTTGACTATTATGACCATTGCATAGAATTAAGTTATATTTGTATCCCTTGTCTCATATGAGGATAAGGGAATCACTTTTAACTTACTTCAAAACAAAAAAGGATAGACTTATTTGATACAACCAAGTCACCTATTGTGGCTTTTTCTAACAAGCATCATAGAAGTTATTCAATCGGTATTTTCAATGTGCATATTTGGCGCCCACCGTGTGGCTATGGTAAAACTTTCATGAGCCACACAAAATTGTAAACCAACGGAATAGTCACCCTTACAGGACTAGGAGTAACATCAATCAAGAATCGTAGGCCATCATGAAAGAATAATTCGTCGATGTGGAAAACTTGCACCAACAGAGCGAATTATTGGAGGGTAGCATTCACGCCTTGCCAAAATAATCAACACCATCCCTAACTAGAAGATGATGGGTTGGAAGACCCAATCGACCTGTAGTCATTGACTGGGGAAATCTGGGACGATTAAGTCCCAAATGATTTTAAGTCTCCCTAGTTGGCCCCATATGATAGGAGGAGCGATATATAGAAGCAAATCATAATTGTTAACGATTAGATAGCCATCATTGGAGCTATCGACTTGCTAAAGTGTAAGCTGATGGCGAGCACGTTGAAGGATATCGCATTATGTCGGTGTCGCAGTGGGAAAATATGGTTAAGCTATTGATTAACTTTACTCAGGAAAAACAAGAGTCGCCACTGAACTTTATTGTTTCCAAAGGAATGGAGAAATATTTATAAAACCCCAAAAAAAAATCTAGCTATGGTGGTTGGTTATGCAAGGGAAAGGTATTACCACCCCTCACGTCTATGGTACTCCATGGGAATCACTTGCATTTGTTTATGAAATGAGTTTTTATTTGTTGACTGATTTTAGGTGAAAAGACATGTTGTCATATTCGAGTTGAAAATTCAACTTACTACCCACAAGTATGAGAAAATGAGCATTTGCGTCATCTTGATATGGAGAATTTTATTTGGATTTACTCAACAAGAATATCTCAACATTCAAGTGGAATATGTCAATCAATTTCACAGCATCTTGTGGAAGTATAGGAATTTGCATCACTTCAAAAAAATGACTCATGCCTAATCTTTTAAGAAAAAGGTTTGGTTTGAAAAGAAAAGTGCACTAAGGCACAAAAAAGAGTTTGACGAGGTTTGTTTTTTTAGAAGTTTTGAAAATAGTTTGAATATGCTTAAGCGTTTTAATATTTATTAAGAAAAAGATTTTCTGGATCACTTGACACAGACAAGGGTTTTTTTAAAGAAAGATGTGAAGTTTAAAAACAAGAAGTTTTGAAATAGAAGAAGATTTTGAAAATTAAAGAAGTGGATGAGATAAAGGAACTATCCTAAAGCATAAAGTGAATGACATAAAAATAAAAAGGTCTCATTATAAGGTAACCCAAGAAAAAGCCTTTGTGTGTGCAAGTGAACTAACCAGGATGAAGCAAGCAATTGACATTAGTCAAACTTAGCAATTCATTTCCTTTGGATTTAAACCACAAGTTGATCAAGCACATAAGCAGATGAATATCTCAAGATCCAGACAAAGGTCACAAAGCCATGGTGAAAAAGTTTTCAGGACAAAGTCAATTCTCAAATGAATCAAAGTCTCACATGCCACAAGGCCTCAGATGGAATCAAACCAAGCAATGGAAGGAGACATTAATCCTAAGTCTAAAGTCAAAACTCCTCAAGCAATGGATAATACCATAGTCCTCAAGAGCACATTACAAATTTTTTAGGATTTTGTATTTATTAATATTTTTGGTCTTTTGAAAGTAATAAAGCAAGATAAAGAAACAAAATAAAGATGACATGAATGTAAATGACTTTAAATGTAAAATGACAAGAAAATAAATTGCACAAAAGTAAATGGCGAGAATTTAAATGACATTAATATAAAAGTGCAGAAATGTAAAGTTAGCACAATAATAAGGGGTTAATGTTAGTGGTAATAGTTAATGATCTGATTTGGGACAAATTTAACGCTATATTAAGCAATCGTAAGTGGATTTATATAGAAATCGCACCTATTGGAGGTCGGGAAATAGTAATGTAGGTGTAGTGCATGTTAGAGAAATTATACAAAGTCATTCTCTGAAAATAATGCAACGTCGTGATTAAGAAGAAGAAGAAGAAGAAGAAGAAGAAGAAGAAGAAATGTGATCAAGCACAAAGGTAAGGGGATTGAATCATTACTTCAATTCATCTTCTTCATGATACCTTGAGACAAACTTATCATCAATCTAAAGTAACAAAAATGATCAAATAATCATTTAATGGTAGGTTTGAAATGATGAAAGTTGATCAAACATCAATCCAAAGTCTAATTGAACAAAATGAGCTTCAATCAACCATAATTGACAAAGTCACAAAAAGTCATAAGTATCAAATCATTAAAACCATCAAATAAGATTTAAATGGAAATTAAAAAAGTTTTTTAAATGATTTAAAATAGAAATTAAAGAGAAAATACAAAAGATGCATCAAAACATCACATAAAAAGCCACAAAAATTTGAGAAAACTCAGAAAAACTCCAAGGATCAAGATCGCAAAAGTTGGGATAAAAATGTTTTAAAATGATTAAAATAAAATGGATGAAAGTTAATTAAAAAGAAAATAAAGAGAAAATGATGAAAAATACTAAAAATGATTTTAAAAATCTGGAAAAAAACACATAAGGGGGAAATAATTTTAGAAAATTATAGAAAAATTTTGAAGTGAAAAATATTTTTGGAACTATTTTTAATGAATTTTAAAAGAAAAGTGAAATAAAATTGAACTTAAAATAAAAACTAAGCAACGGCTAGCTAGGTGTCACGATTTCATTGGTTAGATTCAAATATTTCCCACATTAACGCGCAAAATAGGTCGTCTTCAACCTTCAGCTCTTTGATTTTGTAGAATCATGGACTAGTGGTTTTAAGTTGAAACAAAGCATGTTTCAGCTTCACCTAATATCATCATCCATGTCTTTTTACTCCAGATCAATTTATTTGATCTCAACAAAGAGAATTTGCAGAAAAACGTAAAAACTCTAACAAGTTTCAAAGTAAATTTAAATGATTTATAACAAAGATAAATCACAGTTAGATGAGGGCTTTCACTCAGAAAATCAAGACAAAGAGTGTGGTAACTTGTTTGAGTGGAATGGTAAATCGTATCTACTTGTTCGAAGTGAGCTTTAGAGGTATTAAAATGGTGGATTCAAAGTCGTGCTTCCAAGGGATGCAAAACTTCTATTAAGCTTCAAACAACTTCAGAGGATGCCGATAAAGGTTTATGAGTTGAGAATTGAAGTTGAAACAAAGAGAAAATTGAGTTTGGTTTTCTGGTTTTTAAGAGGTTTCAGGCTTGAGAGGAGCAGAGGTTCTTTGTCTGTTTAAGCTTGAAAATAAAGGCAAAATCATGCTCTTTTTATATGGAAGGAAATGAGGTCATATACGTGTGAGAATAAGATCTCGAACATGTGAATTAATCTAGATTTTTCTGATTTGCAAAATCGTGTGAATGAGAGCATGAAGTGCGTGAAATTGGATTTGAAATAAGTCGTTTTTCACTCAGTGGAATGCATTTTGAAACAACAAATAAGTTTGCACGTGTGTTGTGGTCCCCAAATTGATTTTTAGGTAATTTCCAATTATAGGTCATGCGGTACAAAGCAGAGTCTATGGCATCATGTTCAAGCTTAGGCCAAATGGAACCCACTCGTGCATTTCTTAATTTTCTTTTTTCCAAATGATCCTTGCATAGAGGAGAACACAATGCAAACAGAACCACGTCAAAAGGACATTTGAGCTGAAAATGGCA